GAAAATGCATTATAAATCCGATAAATAAAGCTGCATTATCGGATAGTGCTCTGTTCAAAAATCCACCCCAAGTCTCGAAACTGAAGTACGATGAAATCCAGCCCGAGGATAGAGATAGCATTTACTGAATCTGCCGGATATATCCAGAAATGAAGCTAATCCAAAGATGATTTCGTTCCTCGCGACCGGATGCTACTCAAAAAACCCATTCACCCTCGGCGCATTGATTAATCCTGCCATTTGAGCCGCCCGGTACCATTTCAATACCGCTTCCCATTCAACGCACTGGTCGAGTGCTCGCCCGAATAAAATTAAACACTGACAAAACTTTACCGAAAGAGAGAACAAATTAAATAATTTCTTTAAAACGGTGAATGAAAAGAAAAAAAAAACTGAGCGAATGATTCAAGGAAAAATGCAAAGAGAATGCAGCCTGGAATAACTTCCCAGTCTTGATATTTTCTTCGTGAGAAGCTCTTCAGCCTCACGAACGAAGTACAAACTTATAACAACAAATCCTCCTACGTTCGAAACTTTCAATTACGACATCATCACTACAAAAATTGGGTGCACTTTCGCGGCTGATTGATCCATTGCAGGCTTTGTGGCACCCGTGGAGAAGAGCACCTTTAAGAGCACCTTTAAGAGCACCTTTAAGAGCACCTCCAAGAGCACACTCAAGAGCACCCTTCAAGAGCACCCTTCAAGAGCACCCTTCAAGAGCACCCTTCAAGAGCACCCTTCAAGAGCACCCTTCAAGAGCACCCTTCAAGAGCACCCTTCAAGAGTACCCTCAAGAACAGCTTTAAGCTCCCTCATTACATGCAGCTCGTCTTCAGACCCTGCAGGATTCATGCCCTGCGGCAGAAAATTTAAGAATACTGTCAGAGGGAATGTTGCGCGACGAAGCCATCGAAGGCTTCCTCGAGTGCAATAAAATATCAGGCGAATAAAACTTTGAAGGACGGCCTCATCGAGAAAGTTTGTAAGTCGACTCGCGAAGAAAAGTTGCGGAGAAAACTTTCTGGCGGCAGAAACCTCGTTCAGGCGGGAAAAAAAGGATAAATAAAAGGAACCAAAGCGTTCGTTTTCCCCATTGGAGTCCACGGTATGATATAAATAAAAATATCATACCGTGATATAAACGGTTCTTTACGACACACATATATCATAAAGGCCCGTTTATAAAAAGTAAATTCCAGTTCAGGCCGGAGGGAGCCCGCAGTGAGAAACCCCCCACCGCCAAAAATATACACCATACCATATCATATAACAGCATACATTTATCACACGACAGAGAGACCTCGGCACCCACTTGAAGTATCTGAAGTCGATGCGCGAGAACTGCCCGGAGCAGAGGTCGAGGCACGGGTCGGGCAGGCCCCGCTCCCTGCAGCACGGGGTGTGGTCCACCCCGTTCGTGAGGCACGGGAACATGTCCCCCGCCCACGGGGCGCAGATCATCAGGTCCGGCAGGCTCACGTCGTCCTCCATCAAGGGGTTGCAGAAGCTGTTCAGGCACCTGCCGGGGGGGAGACGGTCGTCGTTGTTGCGGGGTTGCGATTTCACTCGGTTTATTTAGTTCCCATTCCTTAATTTGAAGTTTTTAAAAATTATTTTTAAAATGTAATAAAAAATTTAATGGGCAGAGTCGTTTCTTAAGGGCAAGAGGTAACCCAGAACGCCATAAGTTAAGCCACTTAAGCCACTTTCTGGACAACAATAGACCCATCCTGTTAAACTTCTAACTTGATGTTTGGCCAATGCAAGCCAATGCACGAAACTTCTAACTTAGATATTGAGCATTGGGCTCATTATCAAAGACTTGAGGTTAAATTAATAAATTATGACATCCGATTCGATTAGTCGATTAAATGCAAATGAAATATTATGCTAATCAGACTAGATTAGAGGCGTAACTAGATCCCCACGTCTCTCTCATCAGAACTGAGTGATGAATACCCCGAGGACCTTTGAGGTGGCCGAAAATTGAGCTGCATTTCAATTGGGCGGAATCTGATGACACGATGGGATCCGTGATGCTCATCGTCGTGTCATACCACTTAAAATGTGTTCTATGCCATCATCACGGAGGGAATTAGAGAATTAGAGAGAATTAGAGCTCATAAAAATTTGGGGGGATATCGATACGAGGAATTTTAAACCTCTCGCAGACTCCCCGAATGAACGTGCCGGTCGCGACCTTGAACGGGCCACCCCGCGACCTTGAAAGCGCCACCCCGCGACCTCAAAAGGACCACCCCAAACAGAACCATCCGCCCCCCACCCCCCTCCCCCACCCCTCTCTCCCCCTCCGCGATAAAACTTCGCAAACACGGTTGCAAATTGCCAACTCCCGATTTCCGCACCACCCAAGGCCACCGTATTTTCGAGTCCCCCACGCACACCCACAGGGTAAACAGAGAAGAAAGAAGCCCTGTTACAAGCGTCCATATCGTTCATCGGCAGCTAATAACCAGTCTGACACATCCAATATGCAATAAAGGTGCGTAAATCATATCGAAACGGTATATCGATACATATCGTATCGGCCCAATATTTATCACACGACAACAACCGATAAAACATCTTCGCATGACCGAACAAGGATTTTCCAAACATCCCAATAAATATTCCAGTACCCAAGCTCCAATAGTTAAAGTCGAGCAAAATTACATTAATTTGCCCAACCAAAAGAAAGCCTATCATTATCATTATTTTTTAAATATCAATCATCACCAATATCAGTCTTCACTTCTCAGGTCTTCCCTGCCAAATTCTCAGTTCATCGCAAAAAACCAAGGAAGACATACAATCGCATCAAGAATGGAAAAACGAGAGTCCATTAATCAACTCGGCCACGAACTCCCTCAGCATATTTACCTCGCAAAATTCCCTCACAAATCGAAAAACCGAGCGATGGAAAATGCGATGGAAAATACGAATAAAAAAAAATTCCATTAGAAGAAAAAAAAAAACTCAGTTAACGGGATGAACGGGGGCGTCGCTCAGGCTTCCCCATTGATCCTCTGCAGCTCATCAGTCAGGGAAGACCTGAAAGGCCAGGAAATAGAAAGGAAATCGAGGCCAGACATGATAACTTTCCTCGGCTGGCCCCTTGCATTTCCTCTCCTCCGTCACCCGGGATCCCAAATGCCCCATCAGGGAGATTCCAATGAAAACTTCTTTTTTTTCCGGGGAGCGAGGTGGAGCATGTTCGAACCACATCTTGCGATGAATTTTTATGAAATATGGGAGACGTTTGAGGAGGGGGGGTCTTTCTAAAACCGTTTTGATCAATTTATCATTATTGTGATGCCTTATTCGCTGAAGAATTCAAGAGAACAGAATTTCCCTCTAGTTAAATTTCCTGAGAATTTCGCAACTGCCCAAAGAGACATGATGGTTCAGCATTAAAAACCACAAAACGAAGTAAATAACTTCAAAGTTTCGACACTGAAAAAAAGAGACGAAACGACAACGAGACTTGTCATGGTTGACGCCCTTGTTCACGCAGCATGCCCTGACGTCCGGGAGCGGCGGCGGCTCCTTGGGCGGCGGCGGCGGCGTCGCGTCCGCCGGGAGCGTGAGCACCCTCACCCGCGGCGTTCCCAGGCTCCGCCCAAACGCGTTCACCGACAGCACCACCACCTCGTACATCGTGTAGGCGCTCAGGTTCCCGATCACCGTGGCATTCGAGTCCGGGGGGACCTGTTGGGCGAGCGGTAGAACTAGTGAAAAAATTCATAGATATATATTTAATGAATACGTTTGTTTTGTAAATTTTTAATGCATAATAATTTAAAGTTTTTATGCGATAAATAAAATTTAAATGAGATATTTGATAAATTAGCCGTAAATGAACGCGGCAGATGCGGATCTTCCATTTAAAAATGTTATGGCCTGGAAAAACTAATGCACACGAAGCACTTTACCAACTGCAACAATATAAACAAATTCAGTCGTCACATTTCCGTAAGTGACGATACCTCTTCCTCGACAACGACCGCACCGACGGAGATCGCTTCGCATAAACGGCAAGCAGACGTTGCAGAAAACGTCTCGATCACGTATGCAACAGCATCCTCGTCGATTTCGACCGCCGCTTAGACCTATCTATCTCCGATGCAGACAAAGGAAAACACTAATTGCTCCTTTTCTTTTTCGTCCCGAACCGTCCCGAAGAGAGAAGGCAGGGCAATTTCCTGCCCTTGCCTCAACTTGGCCCGAGAAAAAAAAAAAAAGGGAGAGGACTTGATCCACTCCAGATCCAATTCCTCGTCGAGATTAAGTCGAGATTAAGAGATTCTCGAGGGGATGAGAACGAGACCGAAAGTGATTGGTCCACGTCTGCCAATCATATGCCGCTTAATTACCGAAACGGTAAGCCTCGAATGACCTTCGATTGACCTTCGAACGACCGCGAGAAAAAGGTCGGCTCATCTCTCACTTAAATAGAGGATCGTTACGCGCTAAAACGCCTTTAGCCAAAAGGCTGATGATGAGTCAGCAATTGCTATAAAATGGCATTGAAAAATAATGGCATTATTTTTCGATTATTATATCGATTGTTGTAAATTGCCGAGGGGAGGCGAATCGGGCCATCGGCCGTTTCAGAAGGTCAAAATAATTTCGATTCATCTCGCTCAATTTCTGTCTCATATTGCACCATTCGATGCGCATTCCGCGTTGAAACCGTGTCGAAACCGTGCCGAAACCATGTCGAAACCACAGCCGCGTTATTTCGCTCGGTCTCCGTCACGACCGCGTGACCGGAAAGCGAAATAACGCGAAACCGGGAGATAGGTCGAACTTTTCTGAAAGTTGGAAATTTGCATGACCTTTCACTTTCAGTCCTGAGGGACCGTTAAGTATGACTCATTTTGACCGCGGTTAAATCCTGCCTCCAGGCGTCGACCCAGCAAAGCCACAACAGACCGCAGGAGAACTCTAAACGCAGCCACAAACCGGCACACAAACCGGATGCCTCGCACGCAAAACCGAGTGAAACAAAAAGAGAACACTTGCTCCTTCGGTATGTTTTACGAGTTATAAAAACGGTACGGTATATTTAAAAAAAAAATGCATCGAGGCGGTTCCCCTCGCAATCGACGATAATAAAAAAAAAAACAAAGACGGGAAACCCATAAGCCTAAAAGATGGGACACATGGAGCCCCATTCCGTGCACAGCCCCACCTATCAATATAGGCCGGGGGTAATCAACGTAATTAAATCCTCCCCAGGAAGGATCGTTAAAGGGATTAATGTGAAAGGGAAGCCGGAAGATAAGGTCCGTTATGATCCATCTTCCGTAACGATGTCTGTCCGGCGGGTAATGAAGCCGACGCCGTGCCTCTTTCAGTGTTTTCTCGCGGGAAAATGCCTAATACTAATGATAATCCCTAATACTAATGATAATCTCCGATAGAAATGATAATCCATCGTCGATCTTCTTTCCAGACGTTTGGAATCTCTCTTGGAGATACTCGCCTAATATGAAGGAACAGGCTGGAAATGGGGTTCCGCGGAGAAGAAAGATAAAGGAATGGTAAGAGAATATATTAAATAATTAAATAAGTCAGTAGGTCTTTTTTTTTTGGGCGGAAGTGCGATGATTGATAACGCTGTTTCAGATGGAAGGATAAATTCCAGAAATTCTCAGAAACTGTGAAGAGTTGATGGGAAAATTTTTGGCATATCGGTAGATCTGGAACTCGAGCCAAAATCTCAAAAGCCAAAATTACCGGTGAAGTCGGTTTAATTTTAAAGAGTTTGCTGAGGCAGAAATTACCTAAAACCCAGGAGAGTTCTACGACGAAATTTGGCATAAACGTAGCCCCAAAACCGAGCATGGCCAAACAAGAATTTCGTTTGAAATTGTTCAATCCCTGATGAAAGGGTCCTATAGGAATCCTGTAGGTTTTTGAAAAGAAAAAACCTATAGGATCTCATAGGCATCCTATAGGATGCTATAGGTATCTTATAGGATCTTAGAGGTATCCTATAGGATTCTATTTGATCTTATGAGATCTTGTAGGAAACCTAGAGGATCCTAAAGGATACTTTTAGAATCTTACAGCTTTTAACGTTTCAAAAACCTATAGGAATCCTATACATTCCTGTACATTCCTATAGGAATCCTATGGGACTGTTTCGTAAGGGATGGCAAAGGCTATAGTAAAGCCAACGTGAGAGTGAAAATCTGCAAGGCGTAGGAGCCTAGAGCGGCAAGTGGCCGGCTGGATGGTCGCCTGCTTCGAGAGTGCCTCAACTATCTCATTTCGAAAGCCTGTTTTATGGTGTCAGCCACGCCTCCATGAGTTCGGATTGAAGCTCTTTAGTGACAGCTTCGTGACGGAAGTCTTACTGGTGTTGCACAAAAGCCTCTGCGGCATGTTGCGGCAGCGAAAGAAAAAAATAAGTACAAAATAAATTCGAAATAATAATTCCGCTGAATTTCTGATAAATGCACAAATTCACAAAGCCCTTCGAACTCAAGTCCGGTGGGATGAGGCGTGACTTAACGTGGCACAGTTGAGGTTAGCGGAGTTTTGCAACTTCTTCCCCCCCCCCCCCTCCAGGTTCTTCATCCGCAGGAAAAATCGCGAGAATTTATCTCGAAACGGCTTCGGATTTTCCCATTTTGCATATCGGTGTCTGCGCGGCATCACACGATGATGGACCCCCATTCGTCTCCGTTTTTCCGCCGTCTCGCTTCCGGCCCATTTGGTCTCTTCCCGCATCGAATGGGATATATATGGGATGGGGGTGTCCCATTTTTATGTCATAATTCATCTAGACACCTCAATTTCCAGATATTTATTGCGTTCATTTCTTTCGATTCACCCCGAAAATATCGGGTGAAACGGAACATTGATGAGCTCACATAACGTTTGTGCAGAAAAAAAAGATTTATTTATTTATACCTATATAGATAAATATTTCAAATTCCGCCATCTAAAGGAACAATACGGCCCACAGAAATCTCATTCGTGCGAAGTCGGGTGACACGATGCCCCCATATTTTAATTACGCGTAATTGCCCTCGACAAAGGCAGCACGAGGAAGCAACAAGGAGGCAACAAAAAAAAATGCGCTCGAAATTAGAAACGAGGGAGAGGCAGCGTGAGGGATTACAAGGGAAGCAATCCCCAGCAGTTGTCGAGAGGTAAAGCGTTAAGGCCCCCCCCCCCCCCCCTTCTCCCCTCCCACCTCCTTGATAAGCAAGAGGATTTTCGCGGAAAAGCCGCTCTTATCACCGTCGTTTTATGCAATCCTCTCTTCTCTCTCTCTTTCTGGGAAAGAGCAAGTGTGATCCCCACTCCATTCCTGCCTTCCCTTTTGAAAAGCCACTTGAAACCCATTTCCCCCTTTTCTTCCCCCACCCTGAGTGATTGACCTCATGATTTCCAGGGGATTTGAATTTATCCGCGAGAAGTACGAGATAACCGCGAATGATCGACGTAATGGCATTGAGGAATGAATCCGGAATCTCCGCACATGCAGTGAACAGGAATTACACAAAATATGACGAGGTAATTTTTAACATTTGAAACCTGGGAAGAGGAAAAAATGTATGCAAAAATAAATAAATAAATAATTTATTTAAAATATATAATATTAATATTTATTTTAACAATAATATTGAAAAGCTAATATAAAAAGAAACGAGACGTGCACCGGGAAAGTATCTGACACGAGTATTCTAAATTCGAATCGATCCGTATCACATGACGAATCCTGAATCGATCCAAATCACATGACGGATCCTGAATCGAATTGAATCGAATCGTATGATTGATTCAAACCATCAACTCGGCAGAATCCTCTAAAAAAAAAAAATAATAACAGAAACCCATTTCGCCTCTCAAGAGGCCTCCTTTCCCGCAAATTTTGTGCAAAAAAAATTAGCAAAAGATATGAAAATTCGAGATGGATTCGAATCGCATTTCATTCCTCGGCGACGAATCTCGAGTCTCATCGACGATTCGCATTCGGCAGTACTCTGAAATCGGTACCGGTACCTGGATCTGCATGGCCTCAGGGAGGACGAGTTCCTGGGAGTCGTTGAGCGGGCGCTTGGGTCCGTCGTCGGTGGGGTCGAAGGTCGCCAACCGGGTCAGGTTCACCTCGAAGTGGTCGATCCCGGCGCCCTCCACTCGGGGGCGCGACCAGGTCACCTTCAGCTCTGAGTCTGACTGAGAGAGCACCTCCATGTTCAGGGGGGGGCCGGGCAGGACCTCTGCAAAATATGACAGACAAAATGTGCCTGAACGCCGTGTTTTGGAAAGTGCATTGAAGTGCAGGACGAATTATGTGAGGCTGCACGTGACACCTCGGCCTGGACAAGTGAACGGGTGTGATATGAATCATAGAGTAGATGTTAAGTCAGACTTCGTATCATCTTGGCTTATCCGTGGAAAAATCGTCTGCTTCGAGAGGGAAACCGGAGACCCTAGGATAAACAGCTCTTCAATTTTATTTTTTTTACATTAGGAGACCAAGGTCGGGTTTCTTAAGGGCAAAAGGTTCCCCCCCCACGAAGTTTCCCTCCGAGGCATGCAAACCCCCCCCCAAAAAGCCCCCGAAAAGACACCGTACCGACTCCCTCCGCGATGCAAGCGAGGATCCTCGGCGTGTAGATGGAGCAGGAGAAGTGTGTGCGGACGTCGTCCGTGTGGACCGTGTACTCCCCGCGGCACACCTCCAGGCAGATGTCCGGCACGGCCTGCTCCACGCAGCACGGCACGTGGTTTCGGCCATCTACAAGCGTGAATGGAAAGGGTTTTAAAGCTTTCTCATTCATAGCAAAGGATTTTAAAAATCCAGGCTTTCCACGTTGCTTCTTCTACCTTCATATCAGATGCAAACCCAGTAAAATTGTGCAACTCCGCTGCGTGCAGGATGCCGCAGAAGTCACGCGACGTTCGAACGATTTACATCGATCTTCACGTCGTCCCTTTTCGCATGAAGCTACAAGTTCGGAATCCTTCAGCAGAAATGCAACTTTGATCAAAGTTTATAAAATATACATTTGGCAATTTATGCGACGCGTTGTAAACCGTATACATTCCTTGAAAAAAAAAAAGCCCAAGTCAGGCTGATACATTGAGAACTTCGCTGATAGCCGTTTAGCAAGTATTTTGAACATGATCGGCCAAGTGACGTAAGTCTCGTGAATATACAGTTTCTGATTGGAGGCTCTTCAGCATCAAAAAGTCTTCTAGGGACGCTTCGGGGAGGTCAAATAAATAAAAGCAGCCTTTTGGGACAAGAAAACTGTTACTTATACATGCAACATGCTTCGAATAGCGATGAAACGATCATAACCAGTAACCACTGGACGATTTTATTTTACGCTAATTTATTATTCAATTCTTTTTATTATTAAAAAAGACTAATCATGGGTGAGAAGATGAAACCTTGGGGATGTACGGGCATGATAGACGGCACCCAATATCAGTGCTACTGAGTATTTCTGTAACACGGCAAAAAATATCAGCTGCCCCATGGACTGACATTTATGAAACATAAATATCAGAAAAATGATAAAACGCTTCGGGAGTCTCATACCGGCCATGCATCGGACGATGGCTGGGAACTGGGCGTCGCAGGCGTCCGGGTCGGCATCGGTGGTCCCGTCGATGATGTTGCTCAGGCGGCAGAAGCCAAGGCAGTCCGTGGTCACGTTCGCCTCGCGGCAGCAGTCGGTGTAGTCGTGCCTTTCCGCCAGTTCCTCGGGGCTCATCCCGGCCCCGCTCCCCGTTCCTTCCTTCCCCGTCACTGGAGTCATTTTCGGGGATCCGATTAGTCAGTACTCCCCCGGTGGGGCTTCGGGTGACATTTTCTCTCGGAGCGATTTTTCTTCTCGATGACTTAGGGTGGATTACATAAAAGTTTAAAGTACGCTAAAGTCCCACCAGCAATCCACCCTTAGAATATAAGCTTTGAATGGGACGGTATCGCTTTCGTTTAGGCGTAAACAGAATCTCTATTCAAAGTTCCATCCTTGTAATAGCTGATTCGGTGGATGAATTTTGTTGAACTCATCCACCGAATCTTTATTACAAGTCAAAATGAACTTATTCTTCGTTATCCATCGGCATAAATTTTTAGGAACAGTCATGACCATAACTCAACAGCTCTTTAAATCAACCCTTGATCAAGGCTAAATTTCAAAATTTAATACTGGAATAAACATCAGAGATGCCATCTCGAAAATGCCGATTTCTCAACAGACCTCGTAATTCGTGGAAGGACCTGACGATGGGATCAGAGTTGACCTCACACACGTAGTCGCCGGAGTCCGAGGGCACCACCCTCTTGATCACCAGCACGAACACTTCTCCACCTGGGAGCATTTTTAAATGTCGGTCGAATCGATGCCACTTTCGTTATGAATTGCAGCTGGTTGCCGGTGGGGATGAGTAAACCCTTACGGTAACGAGATTGCGTCCGCCTGAAAGCATTCTTCTATCTGTAATCGATTGCTTTTAGTGGCAATGAAAGAAAAATGTAATGCGTTATTTTGAGGGTCATCGGGTACGTTTAAAGCGCGGCAAATTGTGAAGAAAACGCCGTCCACAATTAAGAATGTAAACAATGGAAAATTAAATTAGCAAGGAATTATTGGTAAACAATGGACAATCAGGCGAAAGACTGAACTTCCTCATACGCAACCTGAGCAATCACGAGTAGGAACCGGCTTCCAGATGCTACTCCATTCAAGTGACTGATGGTACTCATAAGATGTAACTAATTACCGACGGTTGCTCTCGAGAACAAAAAGGAATCAAACGAGAGGCCGTGATTAGGGCAGGAAGAGATCAGTAATGGCAATCCGTTACTTCCAGAGAAGCGATGGGCGTAATTAAGAGTGATATACCACTCGGGCAACCCTGGTTGACGTGAAACAGACCGACCAATCTGGTAACTCTGTCTGACGAGAAACATACCGGGTTCGTGGATGACAGAGACGCGTTTGTCCGAGGTGACCCGTTGTCCGCCGGCCGTGAGCAGCTGGAACGCGATCTCGTCCCCCTCCTCGTCCGTGGGGACCCGCTTCTTCCAGAGCACGGTGTTCTCGCCGAGGTCGTGGACGATGCAGGTGAGGAGGGCGTCGTCGCCGGCTGTGAAGTCCAAGGGGGCTCGGAAGCTCTCGCGAGGGCCGGGCGTCGCTGGAACACGAATCATTCGGGGTCAAACGAGGGCACCGGACCGGAAACGGTCGCCGATGTCTTCACTCGAGGTGTGATTCCTCGATGAAACTGCTTGTCTTTCGAAGTGGAGTCGCGAGGGTATTAAACGGAGACGAAGCCAAAATTATGTTACATACGGCAGTTTCGCGCAGATTTCACCCAGCAAGAAAGAGAAGGGCCGACAGCCATCAAAACCGTCTGTGGCACAAGCGAGGGAGAAGGGAGGGAAGGTAGGCAGAACGGAATCATGGTGCATTTAAGTGCGGACGACGTTAAGAAATGAGAAAAAAAGACAATGGATTCCAAAAAATTATCCACGAAACACCATGGAAATGGGGAAAAAATTACACCACTTCAATTACAACCTAGCATAATATGTTCAGCGTGCCAATCCTCTTCAGTCCATCGTGAAGAGGTTACACTCTGATCGAGTAAACAGAGTTATTTCCCATCACCACCGAAGAGGGGAAGGAAGGAGGAGAAAGGAAAGAAGAAAAAAAAAAAACGGGGGAGGAGGGACTCGCTGGTAATAGGATTACGAAAGACGAGAGGTAACTTGGAGATTCACGTTTATGATGGGCCCATCTTCTATCTCGGCTTCAGTCTCTGGATCATATTTCCCCCGGGGAAGTCTCCGTAGATATCATTGAACAACACCGTCGCTTCTTTCCCTCATCCCAAGTTTTCTCCCAATTACGGTGCCCCGTGTGAAAACTTGCTCATCTGGCAGCGCTTTTTTTTTTCCTTTCCCGTTTCGCCCTCGAATCGATAGACCTCATCGTCCTTCTCGAGAGAGACAACACTTTCACGTCCTCGTGCACAAAGGACGATACATATACACGAAAATGTCCGACACCTTCACGATGAATCGTGATGGAAGAAGCGAGGATCCTCCAGCTCACAAAGGGCCAGGTGAAAGTCGGGAAAATACTTTCACGTTAACTTCCCAGTTCACGAAAGCACAGAGCTAAGTTGACGCACTGAATTTCCTACATTAAGACGAGCGATGGAATCGCGCCATTTTTTTCCCAGGGAATCAATCAATCGATAGGGCTTTGAAAGGCTTCCCGAGGAAGTCCGCAGACTCTGGGAGTGGTCCGTCTTCCTTTGATTCTCCCTTTCTTGCAATCGGAGTCAATATGCCATTACGCGGTGCATGGATTGCTCATTTCTTTCTATTGTCCTGAGACCCCATGGACATGAGAGGAGGCCAACGACAATGGCCCCCATTGTAGGCTGGTCTTACCCCCCCCCCTTCCTTTTTTTTATGAGATTACGCCGTGTATGCAATCATGCGGGCCGGCGAAGAATCATAATAATGGGGGAAAGGGAATGGATGAACGGAATCGAACGGGATCGAAGAGGAAGACGTAAAGGGTGATGCAGAGAGGGAAAAGACCATTNTTCCCCCCCCCCCCTTCCTTTTTTTTTTTTTAACCCACTCCTGCCCAGCCTTTTCTTTGGCGTGGAGTGTGGAAAACCGTCTCCATTAGATTCTGCAGCGATGCCAAAAAATCGACCATCATGAGCAGAGGATTTCGTGCGATCACATCCAACTTACGACGGCGATGAGAACGCCATATATCAAAACTTAAACGGATGAAAGTCCCATCGACTTTATTGTCGGATTCCAAGCATGCCGAAAATATTCCAAATGAATTATTCATGTATACACGGTTGTCGACCTTAATTCCAGTTCACATTACAATCGAGAGTAAAATTGTAACTCCATCGAGCAGAAATCCAGAATGAAATAACACCACTTCCCCGTTATTGCAGCGAACGACGAAGATCCAGATCCCCATTTGGGGGCGATTACGTTCCAGCCGTTGGTGTCTGGAATCTCGATCGTCTTTTCGGCAGCTGGGCCTTTATCCTTTATCCTTCCCATTCGGTCCTTTGAAGAAAGGACTCCCAGAGGAGTCTTTCTTTTTTTTTTTCAAGGGGGGCCATATACGTCTGATACAGTCCACTTCGAAGGTGATCCCGGGGGGACGAGTAGAAGGGAATGCAAACAGGCCTTTGGACAGTTAAGACCGGATCTCTTCCCCATTTCCCCCTTGAAATGAGAGGGACTAAGTGCACTCAGAGCGGATTAAATGGTCTTTTCCCTCTCTGCATCACCCTTTACGTCTTCCTCTTCGATCCCGTTCGATTCCGTTCATCCATTCCCTTTCCCCCATTATTATGATTCTTCGCCGGCCCGCATGATTGCATACACGGCGTAATCTCATAAAAAAAAGGCTCATCTCTTCCCTCCCCCCTCCCCTGCCCCGCCCCGCCCCGAGATCGAATCCAAAGGCGTCTGGGGGATCCTACCGCTTCCATGATTCCTTATGCCTTGTCTCGGCGGATCTTCGTGCCGATTCAACAGATCCCGCACGATTCATCGTCTCCCGACGATAAATACCGACATGTCGACAGAAGCGAATTACAGATGGAATCACGACCCACGCAAATTTAGCAAGAATTCATATCACTTAATCCACTCTATGGTATCACGAGTGGAATACAAATATTCATCACACTAATTTGCTTCCTGCACGCTTAGATCGTGAATTGCGATTGTTCGTGATTGCTAAATCAGGAATTATACAAATTCTTCAAACGAAATCGTTCAATAGCTTTGCCAATGCATGATAATAGGATCTCAAATTTAATTTTAATAAAAATAAAAATATTTAAAATGTACATTTTAAAATATAATTGTTCTCATTGAGATGTACCCCTGGAAGCACCAGAACCACCCGCCTTCTCCTATTTTTATTCCACCCGTAACTATGCAATAAAGTCCGGAAGGGAAAAAAAAATCCATGGTTCTCAGGGCGGCCCCAGCGAGCACGCAAAACGGGGATCAGTCTCCCCCGACCGTCACGAAAAAGAGAAGTCACGACGAACTCACCAGACGTTGCCATGACGACCAGGGACAGGGTGAAGAGCCGCAACGACCCCATTTCCTCCTGCAAAACAAATGCAAAAACCCGTGTTGCAGACCGGTCGAACACAAACGGCGGCCTTCGAATCGATGAGCATTATTCAAGGCGGATCTCCTTGGCTTATTAATATGCAAAGCGGGCATTCATAATCAAAACGGCTTTGACACTGATTTACCGAGGATTCCCCGGCTGCCATTCGTCTTCCGCCGTGCTTCCTTACGAGACGGTATGTTAATTTTATTCATGGACTCGGGACAAGGGCCAAGCGATACACCTCCCCACTAATTAACGGCACATTCCAAAATATACTTCTGGAGGGTCCATCAACTTTTTGTTTGAGGCCCATCAACTTTTCGTTTCATCGCCAGACGGCTGCGGGAGTCACGTCGATACTTTCTCACGCAGTCGTGAACGCTGCGAGCGTACTTCACGCAAGGTTTCGACGCGGTGATGGGGACAGGCTCAAGAAGCAAATGGGGACAGGCTCAAGGATCGAATGGGGACAGGCTCAAGGATCAAATACGATGAGCCTGTTTTTAAGTAGCAGGTTCCAACTTTCTTGCATGTTGCGCATTTCGATGATTTCAGTTTCATTTCATTTTTGTGCGAACCTACACGACGCCCAGTGAATTCATAAAGCGGCGCTAGGATTATAAAACGCTTCTTGAGCCACGGATTACCGTGGATTACCCGTGTAATCCACGGTGTTAGTCCCTGAAAGCCGCCCACGCTCCGAGCAGCGACGATTGGGCGAGGCAGATGCATTTAAATATGAATACCGAACGATATCCTGCAGGTTGAGAGCACGTAACCCCGGCGGGACTCATTTATCTACATTTGTCTGCATTTGTCAACATTAGGAGATGGGAAAATGATGCTGGGAGCACCGAGAGAAAGTCTTTCAAAATTCACGGAACAGACGCGATAGAAAACAGGCGTGATAGATCACTCCCTTACACTGGAATTCCTTTTCCGTCTTGACCCTGACCCCAAATGATGATTCATTTCACAAGCATCCTGCACGTGCTTTGATGGAAACGTGATAGCTTCACTGGACCCATAAAAATTCCATTAATGGTATTGGATTTGAACTTTTTTTGTTCCCTCGCCAGCAGGTTCACCCCAGTTCAAGTTTTCGACCGCTGCCTCGAAAAAAAGAGATCAATGATCACCTGCTCACCGAAGAACCGTTGCGTCAACAATTACGTCAACAAAAGGAATCGCTGCGGGTGAACACTCTGAACACACTGAACACACTGAACACACTGAACACTCTGAACACTCAGAGCCAAGTGCTAAGCACAAACGGTGCCCTCAACGAGTCCTTCAAGTCGAACAAATTCAAATCCGAATCGAACTCCCTCGCGGCCTTGGCACGTCTCTCAAACTGGATCCTGATATCGGAATTTTTTATGTTACTGCGAAATCTGTCGCTTGTAAAGTTTTTCGGGTCACCTCTGGCAACGATGGAACCAGGGAGTTGAACGCGATCGGGAAAAATGAAATGAAAAAAAAAACAGGCTCATTTACATAATTGACAGCTTCTTAATGCTGCGGAAATTCTTTAATGCCTATACGTGGTATAGCATACGGTCCTATATAAATATTATTTACATCAGGCCATATATTTCTGAATACATGCGACAACAAAACTGTAAAGCACTTCATTTAATTTTCCCATTGCATTACTTTCTACAAACCCAAACATGTGATATATATTACGACTTGATCAAAAGTACCCATATGGCAATAAACGGTGGTGTAACGGTCTAAACATTATATACTTATTATGAGTGTATACGGGTTTCTTTGTGTGTGTACGCTCCCATTCAGACGGTATACCGTCTGAATGCAGCCTACACACATAATGGACCTATATTTGGAAGGGCATTATATAAATATCAGCCTAAAGCGCACGATAAGCATATCTCACCTCCACAAGAGGAAGCACGAAAGTCCAACCTCTCCAAAGCAACGAAGATTCATGAAAATGCATATAATAGAGGGGCAAAGAAAGGGAATTAGGTGGGAAGGATTTCTCCTCCCGTCGGTCATCCTT